TATTTCGCTAATAAAAACGTAGCAAACTCACTCTAGTGAAAGTATTTCGAGGGCCCGGATAAAAATTCCTGCAATTGTCGTTCAGAAAAAAACTCCTAAAATTCCCTCGTATAAAAACGCGTGCAATCTCCAAGATGAGAAGGGCTATACTTCTTTTAGATAAAAACGTTTTTAATTCCATTAATACAAATAATTTTATATGCCCTGCATATTACTATCTGAATTTCTTAAAATAAAAACGCTTATACTCCCCGGTAATCCGGACAAGAAAAATGTAGTCCTCCAAGCTTAAGAGTCTTTGTCACTGAAATTTATAGAATGTCAAGGTAGAGGCCATTAAAAATGATAAGGAGCTTCCTACGCGTGATCGTAAAGAATACGAATTAATTCAGCAAAGGAGTGTCGCTAAGCTCGGCAGACAACATGAATTTCAGAATTTTTGCGCGATCCTTAACTTGACTAGCCTTTTTTTGGCGCCGTTTAAGCACAGGCAATTGGACATCCAGTGTCTATTTTAGGCGCTTACCAAAATTATTTTTGCAGTATTGATAAAAGTTCAAAAACATTTATCATTACCTTCTTTAAAGCGTTATTTAACACGTATTTATAGCAGGCATTTAAAATAACAGCCTTCATTTACTCAAAACGCATGCCGAGAGAATCGGTTCGTTAATCACAATTGAAGACTTAAATGGGTTTCAAACTTGCAGTAGAGGAGAGGGACGTAATCGCAAGATCATCCAGGTTTGAAGAGAAAAATATTTATTTCAAAAACCTAAATGGATGAAGACACCGAACAAGTTTGCCATGTTGAACACCATGAGCTTTTATTGGTTCCACATGCTTGTTGACCATTTGCCGAGCACTTGAGAAAAATGTTTATTATAGAGTTTGCAAAGATTGATTTTTCTGGTGGAGAGGCACTTCTATTTGAAGTTTTATCTTCTCACCGCGAGAAACCTATCAAGGAAATTGCTCAAGTCTTCTCTTGGTTTAAACTTTTGCTGCTATCGATGGCTTGCAGAAAAGTAAATGTTCAGAAATTTTGCGTCGCTCGAGACGAAACTTCCCATGGACGCGGGAATGGATGGAACAGATTGCATCAGATACCTAATCCCAAAAGAAATGATTTGGAAATCCATGATAGGTTTAAATTGAACACCATCGAGTTTCCAGTCCAAGAATATAAACTAAGTTGGAAATGTTGAAAAGAAGGAACTCCTCTAAAGGCGGCAAAGTCGCATGGACACGGCTACCTTATTTAAATTTCTATCATCCAAAGTGTCGTTAATTCAAAATAAATAATACCTTCGATGCTAATTAAGTACATACACCGCCTTATAGATATTCGTGAAAGTGTAAAATTATCGAACTGTAGAATCATGAGACGAAAAAACGGAGGGAAAAATTATATGACAATTTTATGTGATCTTCACTTGGTTATTGTAAATTTATTGTAAAAAGAATCAGTTTGAGTTTTCTTTAAATGTCTAAACAGGAGATACGGAAGTACCTTACTAAATACTGGTTTGAACAGACCGTTTTTAAATTACGATATCAGAGTCATTTATTTGGATTCGAGATTAAAATGAATTCGAGATTAAAACGAATTCGGGATTAAAACGAATTTGATATTAAAACGAATTCGAGATTAAAACGAATTCGAGATTAAAACGAACTCGCGATTAAAACGAACTCGCGATTAAAACGAACTCGCGATTAAAACGAATTCGAGATTAAAACGTATTCGAGATTAAAACTAACTCGAGATGAAGTGTTTCGATGGAACGGGATTCTTAATTTGTGATGATTATTTGTCTCGAGCAACGCCTGCTTTAACCTGCTAGTAGGCATGATGATTGCGCCACCATGGTTGAACAAGTGGAGGACGATTTTGAGAGGCTGATTTTGCCCGGCCTGAGCCGAGGTTTTGCCACCACCAGTTTTGGACACAGTCGCCAGTCCCTTGGCAACTTTATATAAAGTCGCCACTCAATCAGGTCGACTTGCCTGGCCAGAGCCGCGCTTATGCCACCACCTTACGTTAAGGTTGACCAATGAAAAGCCCATTTTTGCAGATGTAGTTCGTTGTTCGCCTGTGACGTCACTGATCTCAGTGATGTCATGGGCATTAACCAATCACTGAAATTCAATCAAACCAGTCAACCAATCCGTCATAGGAATGACGGGTTTGTTTACGTTTCGTCTCTTGATCTCAGTGACGTAGCAAGAAAGCTGAACTGAAAGGCGGAACTTCTCGTTGGTCAACCTTGTATAGTTCAACCATGTGCGCCACGACGTATCATAAGCTCAAAGTACATTCAACTCCGATCTAGCTAGCAGAACTGAAGATAAGGTTCCTTGATTCGCTACCGCCTTCAAATTTAAAATTCAATTAGAAACGGCATTGTAACTGTTGTGCCAGTTAGTATCTTTGAAGCAACAAGATTAATATACTTTGATAATCGTGCACCCATAGGAAGTTCTTCCTTTCTGCAAGCTAATAGAAAACCATGCATATAACAGATAACTCATTATCGAGCATTATTGTCCAATGGATTTACGGTTAATCATACGGAACGTTCTTGGTATGTCCCCTCGATGTCTGTGTAGCTTTAGTCTCACTTCTAACAATTATGTCAAAATTATTATACAGAGTTCCATTAGGTACGTGTAACCCATGGTTGAACTATATTATACTAGTTCAACCATGCGTGTAACCTACGTTCTTGGACCTAGTTTGCATGATGAACGGCAACACGGCCACAACAATTATCTTATTAGACAGTTTCTCGCCAACAAATTAACGAAAATTGTTCTCACCGATGATTTCAAGTGATTACGTTCAGTCATTTTAGGACACTAACCTAACATCTCTTAATCGCATTTACTTTTCCCAATAATTTTGCGGTCATGCGAGTTTGTTAGTCAAGCATCTTGGATACCATCATTAGAAAGTCGGCAATAGTACTCAAGCAGCTCAGTAAGAAGAAAACACCGTGCAATTGTATATTATAAAGGTTAAAGCTAAAAATTCATCAATATATATCCACGAATGAAGTTCCCCAACCGCCCAAACGAAGCCAGCAAGAAACAATGCTTAAAATATGCGTAATAACTTCAATGTTTAATAAAGAATTAGATTTAAAGTTTTCTAATTTAATGAACAACAAATTAAACATGGCGATATTCCGCAATTCGCACCCTCAACACCTGAAAAACGGCAGTCGAGACTACAACGCATTTAACCAATGTCAGATAAGGACTAAAAGTCGATTAAATCTTGCTACAGAGCAAAGTAAACGGGAATCGATATATAAAATGTGTATCATACGAGATCATTGCAATTACAATAATGAATCAAACAAATATTTACCTTCAAACTAATGCCGTATGTGGTTACCAGAAGTGTCAAAACAGATTTGTAGACCGAAGTAGACAAACTAAGTTAGGTTCAACCGCACGAAAATTTTTATATACTGGAGTTGAGTCAGTGAACACACTTGAATGGGAAATATGAAGCGGTTGCAATTCAACTACCATACGAACTAATCATTTGAATCACGGTATAAGAAACTAATTCAAGTTCGGTCGCTGCATTCCAGTATACGTTACATCCAATTGATCCAAACTAAAGCGCATAATAAAATTGAGCTGCACCAAGCAGTGAATATATAAGCAGTGATAAATACTGGAGACCTTAAAATGCTTGGTGCAATTGTTTAGATAGAAAAAAGCTATCTCACTTCAACATTCACCGCTATAATTCAGAACACACCACCACGCACAATTTTCTTTCACTAAATTACTGCATATACTGGCATTTAATCTTCGTAGTCAGTCACACGGAACTCGGAATAAATTGTTAATCCTAAGGTTTAGTTCTAGTTACCCTGCGAAGTGCATAACTTTCAATAAGAATAGTTTTAATTCATTCATCTAGGCTATAATTATGTCTATATCCCTTATTCGTTGCGTTCTTACACATACTATACAAGAAATGTACGGAATTTAGTTATACAAAATCCTGTTAAGTTGCTGGTCAAGTTTACGTTTTCTTCGTTGCAGCAACTTAGAAAATGATTCGTGGGGTAACTACGACACTCATCTATATGAGAAGTTAGTGCAGGTTAAATCTTAATTGAATTATTTGAGTCGGATATCCAAACCAAACTTTAGTAGTGGAGAGATAGTTCTTCTGACTGTTTAAATGAATATTCACTCTAGCAACAATTATATAAATTGTTGTTGAATATCATATACGATGGCAAACATCCAGCGATTGCGTTGCACGGTTTCAACTTCCACCAAAATTGCGTTATTGAGACTTTTGAAATCAAATGTAAAAAACTGAAAACTGCATCAACACCTCCGATCTTATGTTTTTTGAGTCAATATCATCAGTTCCCTGCACTCAAACAAAACACCGTACCATTTGAAGTCACTGACAACAAATGTATTCTGATCTCATTTGTAATCGAAGTTATTTTAGAAGGGTGGCCCTTCTAAGCAATCACAGGCCTCGAAAAGGTATGAACTCTTGTATCTGAGAGCCAAAGAGTGAGCTGGTTTTCAATCCGGCATTTCATAATGTGATGTCATACATTTTCAAGCCGTGAATTCCGAAAATAATCTTATTAAGGCAACTCCAAGCAACATAATTAGCGTAATTTTAAGTATGGGTACTTGCATACTTTTACTTCGAATCACTATTTAAAGTCAATATTTTGTCGGAGCACTGAACTCGTTGACACTTAGAATATTTTAATAATAGGAATTAGGAGCTGCAGAAGATGGCCTGAAACACAGTAAATAAGGAAGTAAAATTTATACAAGAATTTGTATTCGAAACATATATCCTACCTTGAATTAATTAATGAATTAATTAAAAGAATTAGATTAAGACTAAATCAAAGATTATTGAAACCATGAAAATGTATATTAAAATCTTAACTACATATATATATTCGAAAATTTATAAAGACTTTGCACCCTCTGACCTCGTGGATAAGTTTGCAGCTTCTGACAGGTCCGATGTGGCTGAAGACTGCCATCAGCAGCTCCTCGCTTGCACTGTTGTCCAGGTTGCCTACGTATCTGTTAACAAATTCAAATTTATGTTAACTTTAAAAATTATATATATCATGAAGACATGATTATGCACTTGAAAAAGTCTACAGTCAATGCTGTGGACATAGAAGGAGATTAAATTTATTATTATGAAAGCAATACAGATAGACCTTAATGTTTGTTAAATAATACTGCGTGAGACAACGTTCAAAACAATTGGCCGATTTATTGATGTTGAAACCAAATTATGATTCAACAAATGATTGCAAATTGTTTCCACTGCTTCCATTTTAGATACAATTAAAATTAAATTTTTGTGTTACAAAACAATTCTAGCTTAGGTGGTCAGTCGTCATTTTCGCTCTGCAGCATGTGTTTCACTGATCCATCGATACTGATGCGTTAGAAGAGAAAACATTCATTATTCAGCTTCACACAATGCGAATATTTACAGGGCTTTCTTCACATATTCATTTCAAAAACTTAAGTTACATGATTTGGGAATTAGTGAACAACGCATGGAAGGGGCACGCATGGAAGGTCGCCATATAAGTTATTTTAAAATAATTGTTTAGCGCAAGCGGTAAGCAAACAAGCACTTCTATGCATCGTGTTTCTACTCCTGCTCACTATTAACAAATTAAGCTGAGTTTTAAAAAATTGTTAAATATTTATAAGTAAAGTAGATTATTTCTGCTCCTATCTTCTCCTTGAACCTCAATTACGCGAGATATTTACAATAAAGTCTAGGCTTTACTCGGAATTTCATGATGCATGTTTAATTTATTTAATAGTCATTAATGAATAGGTTTCCTGGTGGAGTTTCATATATGTATGTCTGCTGAGTGTCATGTATGTCTGCTGAGTGTCATAAATGTCATTTGAGTGTCATATATGTCTGTTGAGTATCATATATGGCAGTTGAGTGTCATATATGTCTGTTTAGTGTCATGTATGGCAGTTGAGTGTCATATATGTCATTTGAGTGTCATATATGTCTGTTGAGTATCATATATGTCAGTTGAGTGTCATATATGTCTGTTTAGTGTCATATATGGCAAATGAGTGTCATATATGTCTGTTGAGTGCCATATATGTCGGTATATATATCTGCTGAGTGTCATATATGTCTGCTGATTGTTAGGTGTCCGAAAATGTTAACTCGATTGTGGAAGTGAATATGTGTTCAGTTTCGAGATGATAATATAAGAGGGATATTTCCGCGTGAGCGTTAAAAAACTTAATAAAATTTTAAGTTTCGAGTTAAGAAAAATAGAATATCTTTATCTATAGGATATAATTGCAGAGTATTGAAATCACTAGTTTGCTTAAATCGCAAGTTAACGAGGAATTTAAAGGCACAGACAATACCACAAAAAATTTGTGGTATTTGTTCATGTTATATTTTTCTTCGTGGTAACCTATTGAAGTATACATGTATACCAACGGTTTATACAAAGTCCCAGAAAGAGTCCTAGAATTTGAAACAAGAAGCAACACCAGGGGCCACGGCTATAAACTAAAAAACTGCGCTGTAACACATCCATGCGACAACATTTCTTCTCGCTTCGAGTCACCGACATGTGGAACAGCCTCCCTGATAGCATCGCTGATGCTCCGAGTATGAACGCCTTCAAGTACAGACTAGACGAAGCTATGCAGGAGCATATGTTCAGTCTTAAAATGCCTAGAAAATTACGGACCAGGCAATAAGTCCAGCAGCTATCTCAATCAATCGTCAGTTATGGAAAGATCGGGCTCCAAAGGCCGGGTCCCTTGTGAATCAAGTCCTGAAAAGTACAAGAATCGGCAACAGGTCATGGGCCTATTTCTTCAGTGCTGACACTTCTATTCTATTCTATTATATAAAAAACGTTTCGGAGTCCAGCTCCATCGTCTGTTCATAAGTCTTAGAAACACTAGAAGTTAACATGAATGGCTCTGAATATGGGCATCGGGAGATGCATTTTAATTAATGAGGTACTCAAATATATTCCTTCGGATCTAATCTTGAAGTTTATAATCAAATACTTCATCACTTAACCTCAGTGAACGAATTGGCATCAGTTTGAAAATACTAATCTAGAAGATGCTTAGTCGGGACTCGAATAAAAACTGAATTAACGTTATGAATCCGATGAGTCATCAGTAATAATTAAAGTTTGGTTTCGTCTGTTATCAAGATTCTCCAGTAATACGAGTAAATTGATCTCTATTCAACAATCGCTCAATATAAATTATAAGTGATACATCGTGATGCCTTGACCAAACTGAAACATCTCAACTCTTCAGGTCTTCAAGGAATTTGCCCTATTGACGGGAGTGATCTGGCGAGACTGAGGCTGCATTTATATGTTTACCAGCAAACCGGGAGCTCAAAGCTAACAGTTTTGACAGCTGGCTGGGCAGAGGTGGTGGTGAAGGCGACTGCACTTCATTTTAATTCTCTGCACAGCACTTCACAGTTCTCTGCACAGCACTTCACAGCACTTCACAGTTCTCTGCACAGCACTTCACAGTTCTCTGCACAGCACTTCACAGCTTGGCTGGTGGAACTGTGAGTTTAGTGCGCCGATGCATTGTGACGTCACTTCACAATAGCACTGAAACAACTGAAACATTGCAATTTCGTTCAATAACGGAGAATTGCAAGTCAGTTTTTAATTTGAAATTAAAAACTTTCGGTGAAACAGCAGTGATAAATTACACTCTAAATTTTACACCATGATAATGTAAGTGAGTTCGTAAGGTATTCGTAGAGTCGAGATATCTAGTAGTCCAAAGGAATATCGTTTGTAGAGTAATAATGTTATAAAATAATTTCTCATACGGCAATTATCCTTCGGCCCTTATCTGCAAAAAAAACGATCTTCGAATCGCGACTCTGTTATACTTTTGAGCTGGCATAAATGTAACTAAGTTCAAATTCAGTCCGAGTATCAATATGTTCGTACGTGACATTTGTTATTAAACAGCAATTCTTTATGGTTTATTATGATGTGTCTGAGTAAACATTACGATTAGAATATTTGCACAAAATCAATAAGATTCCTCAGACTACGAGCGCGAGCAAACTAACATATTCTGCAGTTCTCTTAATGAAGCTAATTTGTGATGGGTTCTGCATTTATCCACAACGCTTCCATCTCGCATAACAGCTGCCTTCAGAAATACGGAGGCAATGGTAATTTCATTTATTTTCCTGGCAAAGGGGATGTCCCCTCTCAATGAATTAATTTCTTGGTTAAACCCCATCGGAACCCCGTCTTTTTTAAACAGACAATCCATTTTTAATCAATGAAATCCGAACATTGAACAGTGAGGGATTTCTTCCCTCTTCGAACCCCTCATTGCTGATAGCTGAAGTAGTGAAAAAACGAGCAGTACAGAGAAGATGGCCTACTTCCGGTTCTTTCTCTCTCATTCTGGATTTGTGATGTGACATTTGAGAAATAAAAATACTGATCGGAATGGTTCCACATAATCCGTTAAAATGTTTACATGTGGAATTCATCTGAATTAAAAGTACATCAGAGGTAAGGTGTAATCGAATTTGCATCAACTGACTAAATGGACGAATTAATGATGTTTTTTAAGGAGATTTGACATTTGCATCTGACATCTTATGCGGTTGAAAACTGCTTGTTTGAGTTGAAAAGTTATAGGAGATAATTTTCAGTTCATGACAAAAAACTCAAAAATCTAACCACTAGAGAATTTTTTTAAACGCTTCATCTGTTTTCTCATTACGGAACTTACAGAGCCATTCTCATCCAGAGCAAAAATCTCCACCTAGTTTGTCAGGAAATTTTTCGAAACTGCTCGAAAAAATGTCGGGGTCTTTCCATTTCACGGTAGCGCAACTCCGCTAAAGGGTCGTAATTACAGGCCAATATGCAATTACGAGAGAGGAAGTGCTATAGTCGGCAGGATTGCTTCATCGGTCCGCGGCTGCGGAATAGCTCACTCAATAGCGATGTTCTATTTGTTGCGGATCCTTGTGTCCTGCGATTGCATGATAGGCAAACGAGCTCTACGGCAGCGCACAAACCAACAACTCTGTAATAAAATCAGGACAGGCTTAAGTGGGGTCACTTAGTGTTCTAAATTTGTCATATGACAAGTAATATTATGTGCAAAACATCAACTCATGCATTCTCCTTCTCTTTATTCATCTTAATTTAATTTGCTGTAGAAAATAATACTTTCACATTAAAACACAAAATAATCTTCTTTTATCGAAATCATGAATTATATTGCATTAATTCGGTTATTTTAGTATAATGAAACGTAATTCAAACATAATAGTGGAGGGATAAAGAAAATGCCGCCCTATCAAATCGCTGCTGAAAATTTTGTTCTATCCAAATTATAAGCTCATCATCACGAACCGTGATCTAGATTCCTATGGCTGCATTGAGTAACAATTTATTCCAAATATTGCGGTTTGAAAGTTTCGCAAGTTTCGTTGAAGGCCAGAAGGTATTTATTATTAATATTTCTCTGTTGCTTCTCTCAATTTGGCGAATTTGGCTTTTAGTACGATTTAAATTTTGGAATAAGAGGGCTCCAAGGGATATTTAATTTTAATTTTACGAGGTTTGGAATATGCAATATCCATTTTAATATAGCTCACTCAGAGGAAGTGTAAAAAGAACTATGCACACCATTGTCTTCACTCATGATAACGTTCACTCATATAGGCCCGTTCAAAGTAACGGTGTACAACATTGTCTTTACACCCTAATAGTGCTCACTCAGAGGCCCATTTCGCAATTATATCGTCAATGGGAACGTGCATGGCAATTTTAACATATGTTCATTAGTAGGAGACGCCTTGCAAATGAGGCCAGCTAGAGGCAGCCTGTCAATTGTTGAGCCGATATCGGCAAATCGGATGGATTAAATAGGTGACCGTGCGGACAAGGAACACGAATGGGTGGAATTGAACTATGAAATTTAGTCTTTCTATATTACTCAATTTCCTTCTATGCCTCTAAGGTTCATCTGATTAAAGGTAATAAACG